TCAATGGGATTCTCGGCCGCATTATCACGTTCATCTCTCAGAATACTTGTAGAATGATGATTATGATAGAGGATGGGGGTGGGAGAGCTTGATGAGGAGCAAATAGAGAAAGCTGTTGCCAGCTTACAGCAATGAAAGCTTGAAGCTGCTGCTTTTGGCTTTTTGTTATTTATTTTTTTTAATTTAAAAAACTAATTTTAAATTTGGTCCTTTGTTAGCTATTACGAAAATGATGGAGCTTTGGTTCCATTAATGATTCTTCTACTGTCCTTTTGAAGGCATTCATTATTTTGGAGCCGTTCAGTGGATGCCAACTGGGCTTTGTATATGTATATGTATATTTTTTTTAAGGAAAGAATCTGCCGTCAACCATATAAGTGTATTTGATAAATTTACACTCTTGTATAATATTTTGTAAATCATACTCAACCATATAAGTAAGTGTATTGGATAAATTTGCACTCTTGTATAATATTTTGTAAATCATACTCAACCATATAAGTAAGTGTATTGGATAAATTTGCACTCTTGTATAATATCTTGTAAATCATACGAGAGACGTAAACCACACTATGTTAACCATGTGTAATAAACTTGATCTAGCGACCGTTGACAAGGGGATTCGAACTTGAGTCAATTGACACAAACTCACTTGTTCCAATTGCTAGGTCATCCATTGCGGGACGACTGTGTATATATTTGAATTCGAGAGACGGTGAGAGAGAATGCTATTACTGTTAGTAGAACTAGCATTTTTTTCCTATGTGCACGGGGCATTTCAAAAGTGAAAATAATGATTAGTTTAATACATGACAATAATAATTATAATAAAATTTATTAGATGTCCAAGATTAATATTTATACAAATTAAATAATACAAATTCATTCCAAGAAAAATAAATATAAACTTATTTTTTTACAAATATGCCATTAAAGTTTCTTAAGTTGCCGTAACGTTTATTTCTTTTATATATAAGATATAAGATATAAGATATAAGATATGAGCCATCGATTTCAACTCTTATTTATTTTACTTTAATAAAAACTCATGTGTGAAGTAGTAGGTGCCACTTTTGATGGCTACTTCGACCATACACCTGGTGATAAACACCGGGTGGTCGGGTCTCCTACTAACATATGTATTTTTTTGTATTTCTCTAAAACGTTTACAGGTTGATTATAGAGGAGAAATATATGATAAATAACTAAATATAACATTTGTCAGCAGAAGACTCACCCAGTGTTTATCATCGGCTGTAGGGTCGAAGGAACCGACTTTTGATCGACCGATTTTTTATTTTATTTTTTCATTTTTAGCAAAAAAAACAAAATATAATTACTGTCAACTACTTTTTATACTGAAAGTAGGAAAAAAGATGCAATTCGGATAATATAGAATAAATTATTCAAAGAATATTTAACCAACTAGTGCAAGGCGCAAACTTAGGCTTGTTTGTATCTCTTATACCTATTACACATGACAACAAGAATATGTAGTTCACGGACTGGAACCAGAGTTTTTCACAATTAACCAAGTGACCTTAACTAAAGTTTTTCTTTGGAGTATCTATTTGGTTGCGCTTCGAAATCGCTGATTTCGGTCAAGTTCAATTGATGGTTAACTACCGATTTAGACGGTTTTTTATGTAAATTTTGTTTTTTTTATCTTGAAAATTGTCAAAATTTTAGGTGGAAAATTTGTCGATTAGGTTGTTCAATCCAATGTGTTCGTTTAAAAATTGGCCGTCTATTAATGTTTTTACCAATGATCTTGACCGTTGATCTTCAACTTTCAAATAATCTCGACCGTACAACTTTCTAAGTTAAAAAAATGTGCAACACTTCAGGGTCGATGTGGAGCTAGCCCGTAGTCAACGGGTTGGTTAATCGGGTCAACGAGTCCATTACACGGATCGGGACTGTGTTACAGGAGCTGATTTACCATAGTTACCCTAGGTTGAAAAGTCCGGCGTTTACAATTCTAATTCAACAGTTAACCCCTGAATTTCAAACTTCTTTATTTATATTTTTGATTGGACGACCATGATTTCCTAACTGCTGGTTGAACCGGCACAAAATCTTCCATATCTTAACCATGACGACCAATTCACCAACGGTTCAAATGTATATGATTAACCATAAGAGGTTTTCCTACCATATTAACCCTTCCAGGGCAGATCCAGGAGTTTTTGTTGGGAGCAAGATTTACAGGGGCAGGGCCCCCGATATTTTTTTTTTGAATTACTTTAGAAAGCAAAAATAATTATAAAGTTTAGTTAATATATACAAGCATATATCATCACTGAAACTCCTTAAATTTAAAAATTATGTATTATAAGTGGCTAAATTTATTTTTTTGGGAGAGGGGCTAAAATATAGAAATAAAAATAAAAAAATATTAAAAAAAATCATTTTTTTTTCTTGAGGGGCAGCTGCCCCCCTTGGGGTGCCTTAGTTACACCCTGAAACTCGTCGTTAACGACTTTACGAAGAATCTATTCTTAACCACTTAATCATCTAAACTGATTTTATCCACAATATATAATTGACTATAATCGAGAGGCAGATAACTGTGTGGATAAAAAGAAGTACTACTTGCCAATGCCATCACGTAAAAGTGCAAGCATGTAAAGTAAAATGTATATACATCATCACAAGCAGTGCAAATTCAGTGAACTTTATCAATAGATTTACAAACAAATAATCTATATATTTTTCATGAATTTGACATTCTCAAGTAATTCAAGAAATTTTCTTAGTGGTCCCAAACATTTAGCCCATCATTCCCTTTGTCAAAGGACATCAAACATAAATGGATTAAATTACCATTTTTATGCAAAAAATAATTATATAAATAAATAAAATTCAAGATGTCATGATTCATGTGTGTATGTGATGGAGAGAAATGCTGATGAGTAGGGATGGCCAAGGCGCTGGTACGGGGTGGATTTTGGAAAACCCGCACGTGACATCTAGCAAAATTTCATACTCGTATCCGTTTCGTACGTGTTTCGGGTTTGATTTTATTAAACTCACCCCCACCCAGCTTCGGACCGTAAAAAATATAATCGTTTTATATTACAAATTTATTTAGTTAAAATTCTTTTAAAAATTAGTATTTTTATAATATAAAAGATTAATAAAAATATATAAATGGGTTGGATACGGTGCGGGTAGGTGTGCATATGTTCAAAACCCAAATCCGCTACAGGTGAAATTTTTTATACCTGGCCGTACCCACCCCATTAACTAACCGGGTGGAAATTTTCCGATAAATTCAAGGTGGGTTAAATTGTCATCCTAGTTCCTACTGATGAGATGAGATGTCTGACAGAATCTTTTAGGGGATGGAGATTTTGAAATGGGCGGGGACGGGGATTGCAAAACCCGCAATTGATTATTTTGTTAATAATAATAATAATAATAATAATAATAATAATAATAATAATAATAATAATAATAATAATAAGGGTAAATTACAAATACCCCCGGAGGTATGGTTAAATTACAAAAAACCCCCTCTTGTTGGATAATACATCTACCTCCCTCAACTATGATTTTTTCATACCTTTATGGTGCCAAATTCCTCGTAGTCATCTAGATTCCGTGATGTGCGCTCTAGTTGGTACTCTTTGTGTTTAAACTACAGTGTTCGACGCACCACTTACTGATATATACACGCTAATAATCACACATAATGGTCATCTTGCATCAT